CCTTCTCCAAGTAAGACCTCACACCTCCTTACACGGCTTCTCACATTCTCACCTTGCATGTCTTAAGGGAATCATTTGTAACTGTCAAAGTGTTTTACTGTTTTAGACACACTGCTCTTGGAGTAAACAGGTTTTAAATGTCAGACATCCGTATGTTTCTTCATACTAGACCTACAGGTCTTGCCAACAAAGGGGCACACCCACCACTATTATTTGAGTTTAAATGGTCCATAATTTTGTCAAAATCAATATGAAGGACAAAGGACACTAATGCACCTTAATCAACATGATAGAACTGTAAATGTACCCGAGTTAGCTTAAGGCTAGTTTTCCATTAGCAGTCCTTTTAGTCGGATTAGGCATCCTAGAGTAATAAGAATAATACAATATGTTTAATTGTTAAAAAACATACTTTTTTTGTAGGCGTTTAGGTCAATGCATCGTTCTCAGCGAACACTGAGTACTACAACTTAGATATGTACCTTTTTACAATAAAGACCATATTGATGTCCCTCCCTTAAAAACAAAAACTCCACAGCAGAGTTTTAAAGAAATAAACATGTGTTTAGAGAAACATGAGAATCATCAGCTGTGTCTCTGTGTCTCCCCTCTTTTCAGGCTTGACTACTCGGGCATCGCCCTCCTGATCATGGGCTCCTTTGTGCCCTGGCTGTATTACTCCTTCTATTGTTCCCCTCAGCCTCGACTTATCTACCTCACCATTGTTTGTGTCCTCGGCATCGCCGCCATCATAGTGGCCCAGTGGGAACGCTTCTCTACACCTCGCCACAGACCTACAAGAGCAGGTGACAACCACTTAAAGATATTGTACATTTTTATTAATGAGCTTTTTCTCTGCAATGTGTTTTGGAGTTTTTATTGTAGGTAACTGGATTTCATGCTTCTATTAGGTGTGTTCATGGGTCTTGGATTAAGCGGCATTGTCCCCACCATGCACTTCACCATCGAGGAGGGCTTTGTGAAGGCCACCACAGTGGGCCAGATGGGCTGGTTCTACCTGATGGGCGCCATGTACATCACTGGGGCCGGCTTGTATGCAGCCAGGATCCCTGAACGCTACTTCCCTGGGAAGTGTGACATCTGGGTTAGTATTTGATGTTATTACATTATATTACAGAACTTTAAAAGTTGCACAAATATTTTTGTTTCCTGCCAACAAACTAAAATTATATTATACTTCATTCACCTTAACGTGGTGGAAATCTGCAATGTTTACACATTCCCTTTGCTTAAAATAAAGAATTCGACAATGCCACAGTGTAAAATACGTTCTAGTTTCCTGCAATTAAGATTCTACTTAAATAAATGTACTCAAGTATTGCTAGCAAAGTGTACGTTAAATATAAAGTACTAACTATGCAAACAGGCCCCTTCCAGAGTGTTACCTATGTCTTGAAGGTCCAAAAATAGATGCTCAGATGCTCTGTTTTTTAGAGTGAAATCTACAACTTCATCATTTTAAAAGTACATAATGACCTCACAAAAACTGCCAGTACATCCCTGAGTAAATCTTATCCGCTACATAAATGAAAACATCTATGAAGGTCTGTGGGGCCTTTAATTTATAAGAAAGCATAATTTTTCATTAGTTAATCATATAGTTTGCATGTAAAAAAAAAAGTATAAAGTACAATAATTGGACGTCCTAAAGCACAAGTACCCTAAAATTAGTAGAGTACTTACACCTTGTTAGTTTGCACTGCTAGAAATGTCTGACCACAGACAAAGTGGCTGTTTCAGTCCCAACTGTGGTCAAAAGAGGTATTTTAATTTTTTCTTTGATCAAACACAGGTGTTTGATTATAAATGAAACTGTTAAAAACATTTCTTCCTCTCCTTCTAGTTCCACTCTCATCAGATCTTTCACGTTCTGGTCGTGGCCGCGGCCTTTGTCCATTTCTACGGGGTTTCCAACCTGCAGGAGTTTCGCTACGGCCTCGAGGGAGGATGCACAGATGACACTCTACTCTGAGAGGCCTGACTGTGACTTCCTCATACTTTTCTTTATAGTCACACACACACACACACACATGCACACAGACACAAAAACACACACAATCACTTAAAATGCTGCTGGAATTCAATATAGTCTCACTTGTTGCTCCTTCTGTACTTCTGATTTGCTAACATCTTGTTTGGGTTTTGGTGGTCTTCTTTCTGTTTGGCTCTTTTTTGCTCCAATAAAGTAGCATTACCTAGCCATTGAACTACGGAGGGAATCTTCAACAGGCACTACTTCTTCAATAATTATGAAACTTGAAGTCTACATTTTCAAGTAAGGTCAAAATGGGATTTTAACCAAAATCATATATATATATTCCTGTAACTGATGGTCATTTCTTAGAAGCTCACTAGTACCCCAGCCTTTTCATAATCCGTTACGATTGCACAGAGGGCACAGAGAGTATGATTTGTGCTGTAGCAGAGGGCACATACTGTAAACCATTCCTATCCTCCCTCCCAGTTTCCATGCAGGTCAGAGGATGAATGTACTGTCCACCAGGAGTGAGGTGTGGAGCAGTCCAGGCCCACTTATGTGCTTGAGGGTCTGCACACACATTTGTACTAGGAGGATAAAAGTATACACATAGTGTGTATGGATGCCACCAGATGTTTTCTTACTGTGCTGACACTGATTGTGCGGCGGTGTGTCAAAACTCGGAGGAGTGCTACAAACCCACCCATGCCCACTCTGCAATAAAAAAAACTGTACTCTTAAGGCCCAGTCAATCTTACATTTTATAAATAAATAAAAAACAACATTATTTAGAAAGGAACATAGAAGCAAAATCCTAAAAACATGATGTATAGATGTGTCTAACACTAGGTTTGATGCTCATCAAAATTATTGCCAAAATGAAAGGAAAGAAATTACGATGTTAAAAACTGAGATTTTCACTGATATTCTCTGCATTGTTATAATTGACTTAAGACCCAAGCAAATGCTTTTTTAAATGATAGCATAGCATGATAAGCTGCAACTTTGCAAAAATCTATCTGCTCACTTGTATTTAGACTAAAATGCTTAAAATGTAGAAGTCGAAAGAACTTCCCTGCCATCTGTCAGACAATACAATTCCTAATTTCTCAAGTAATAGTTCCTGGGCGACGCACAATGTACAGATCTGGATCGGTCAAATTGTGTTTTTGTCTGCTAAAGATATTTCTTTTGTGCTAGATTCAAATGCAATGAGAGGTGTAAATATCTAATGCACCTTAGTGTATACTATTAAATTCAAAACTTTAAATCACCATATGGGATTTAAAATGTGTTATGTATGATTGATATAAACTTTTAGTATTCCTGTGCCTTAGGCCAACGGAAATGTTTTTAAATAAAACGGCCTATCTTAACAGTCAAAGGAGCTTCAAGGATTTCCAGATGTTGACTTTTCTTGTTTTCCTTGCCATATATACAATCGAATCATTATTGAACTTACAACTCCATGGATAGGTTGTATCAACTGCTGTTTAAGACTCCTTTTTCTAGATCAACTTATTCGAGCTTTATTACAACGACTAAAACAATGTGTATTCTTGACTTTGTGTAATGTCCTGTGTAGAAAGTGATAAATCATACATTTCACTGAAATGTAAACATAAATATTTATTAATGGTAATCTTGGAAAATTATTGTAATAAATTATTTTCCACATGTAAAAAAAACATGGTGTTCTATTGTCATTTGTTTCTCACAATGTAGTCCTGTGACATTTGCAAATGTTATATCAGCAGTAAGTCAACTGTGAAGACAACAGGATTCATGGTCTAACGCTCAGTACATGTCTGGATACCACACACAGTGTGTCTACATCAGAGTATCTAAAATACTGCTTTCTCTTAACAATTTTCCTCAATTATAGAGATCAAGAGTAACCATGTTTTAATCACATAAACCGTTGTTAAAAAAACTGCTTCTTGTTTGATTTCTTGGGATCCGCTGTTGGCTGGAGATCAATTAGAGCAGAGAGATGTGTGGGATGTGATCACAGCTGTAATAATGTCCATCACCAGCACATGCTTTCCTTCTTGGTTGAATAAATAGATCCATTATTGAATTTGATTATAAATAATGCCACACTATCAGGACTAATAATCAAAAGTTATTTGAAATCGAGAGATCATGCATGCCTCCCTCAAGGCGTCACAATTTTAATCTTTTTCATTTTAAAATAGGGGGGAAAAATGTTCTTACTGGGCTTTATGCATATTATAGGAGCTTTATACAACAGTGCTTAATGCACAGACAAAGTATATGTTTGCATCTTGTATTGCACTCGACTACCTCTGATTTACTCATCTCCCATGCTCTGTTGATGGGTAATTGTTCAGCCTCTCACTGTACTGTAGTGTCACAGTTGAGAGTTGTTGTGGCTCATTTAGGTTTTTGCATATAGCCAAACAAGCATTCACCTCGCTCAAACTCTCCCGAAATGGCTGTAAACACATTTAGGTTGAGTGTATGTGGCTACAGCATCAGTGTAGGAGAGCAATGTATGAAACAACACAGACTCCTCAAACTGGCAGCCAGGATTTGTTCATGTTTTGCTATTTAATACTTCTACTTGACTAACTAATAAGCATATCATGTACATTTTACATGTATTCTTCAACTATAATTCAATTAAAAGCTGTTTACAGAAAAGTATTGCATTGAAATTGTAACAATACTTACTTATTGACTTACATTGTTTTATTTACGTTTTTTATTATCCATTTCACTCTTTTCAATGTATCTTTTGAGTCAGTGCTTACTTCTTCTTGTCTTAGGACAGTTACAATTAACCATGCTACCATCAATTTCACAATTTCACTTATTTACAAACGTTATCACATTATTATGAACGGAAGTAGACACATCCTCTCGTAATTTAAAAGTTTTAAAACATATCAGAAATAGCAGGATATATCACAAAGGTTGTTTAATGAGGAACCAAAGAACAAACGTGTGTTTCTGAACGGGAGCATTTAGTGGCTGGTACACTTCAGGACCAGCTAGAATGCTAGCCTAGTTTAAGCTAACCTGTTTTCTTTTACGATTTTATTGTAATACTTAACACTTTATTTACTTCAATATTGAGGTAAAGGCTGTTTCACTTTATTAAAGAGTGTGTCTTTTATATAGATATATAATGTGGTTATTTATTCTAAGTCTGTTGAATTCAGTGTTAGCATGGATGTTAGCATAAATGCCAGGGGTGGGGTTTTCAGTTAACGTTTATTTGGTCATTTAAAAAACAAGCGAATATCCAAATGGCCTTTTAACACACATATATTAGACTGGGGTTCAGCGTTATGACTGCTACAACAATATTGTTGCATGATGAAACATGTAAATATTAGAGGGTTTCTTGTCACGGACTTCCGCACTACAGAGGTTCCGAGTATTTGTAGTTCCGGTCCACCGGGTGTAAGCCCCATCTTTTTTTTCATAGCACTCTAATTTAACATTAACCAATCACCACTTACGGTTAATTACAGTTACTGTTATTTTGGACAGTCCGGTGGGAGATACTGTGTCCCAGGCCTTTAGTGCATGTACATCAACGTGAATCTGCTGTTTGTTTTTACGGTCAGAGATGGAGAACAATCAAGAGTCCAAAGAAAGCACGGACCGGTCCGACCTGGTTTCTGAGGACGGCAAGAACATCAAGACTGTGGTGTGTCAGCGGTGCGGATCCAAGGTGCTGTGCCCCGGGATGGCTGTGTTTGCAGAGAAGGAGGTAAGCTGTCTGAAATGAGGCGACTGATCACATCCTTGGGCTCATATATTGCTTTTTGGGTGTTAAATCTGTACATAGGTTCACTTGTTAGGTACACACCTTGAGCTGAGCATTTCTATTTTCAGTACAGTTTCAGTTAAAATACTGTCATAAATAATGGAGTGAAATAACACACCCTGAGAAACTTTCTGAGACTGGAGAATAGGGCCCATATACTAAGACAATGCCATTTAACCATTGTCCTGGATATCGAATAAATACAAGATAATTAAAAACCAACCATTAATACTGATGTCATCCATACACGTGTTGTAAAACCATGAAACAATACAAAAACACTCACCGCAAATAACCAATTGTAATTACATATCAATAATATATATGCAATTCAACTGGCAGACCGTTCCGTTACTTAATCAATTTTATAGCACTCACACCAGCCTTTAGGAACTTTAAAGGAATAAAAAGGACATAGGTGGCTTGTGACATTAGAGAACTGCAGGGTTTATACACTGAGAGCACAATATAACCAGAGGCCTTTAGAGCTTTAGGTACCAGGAAGCCTTTATATCTTTGTAAACCAGGAAGAGGATCTTGAAAAGCAACAGGGCAGCTGCAAGAATTGGTCAGTTGATAAAATAACAATAGCAAACCTTTTTGGTATTCGTTGAGATCGTTGTTCATGCAAAAATGACAGATAAAAGTGATATCTCTTTGTTCAAACTAGGGGTAACTCTAAATAAAAGAGGAATACATGGCAGTCTTTTCATGTAAATACCAATTCCAAAACTCTGTTCCTTTGTTAGTGTTTTGATGTCAACTGAGGCCTTGTTTTCCCCCCAACAGCTGTTCCTCCCATCCATGCGGAAAAAGAGCGGCCTCAGCACCACAGAGGGCTCAGCGGACGGGGACACTCTGACCGCCCACTGGTTTGTGGACGACATGTACACTTTTGAGAATGTGGGCTTCACTAAGGACGTGGGGAGAATCAAGTATCTCATCTGTGCAGATTGTGAGATTGGACCAATCGGCTGGCACTCTTTGGATGACAAGAAAAGTTTCTACGTTGCATTGGAAAGGGTTAATAATGTATAGTCTGAACTACATGAACTTTAAAAATGTGCTGGCAAGCTATGCATCTTTCATGGATTTAATCCATTACACACACACTTATATACACTGGTATGTGTACATTGTTTATGATTACTGACGGTGACACTATCTTTCTTCTCAATCACACTGACAGTGTGATTATCTTGTTCTAATAAAGATGTTTTGGGGAAGCTGTTATTGAATACCATCCTGCAGCTGTTTCTTGGATAATGTGATATATTGTAATTTCAGTGTCTTTCAATCAAAGAAATCTCAGTTCCAGTTTAATTTAGGAGAATATAATCCCTTCCAAACACAGGTTTGAAGATGTGGGGCTCTGTAAACCTGTGATGGGAACTTTCTCCATTATTTTTACATTTAAAATACATTCAATCCTTTTCAATATATTATTTAATCCAAAGAAAAAAACTGAAAAATCTTTTTCCAATTTGTGTGTTTTCCTGAAACACAGTGAGTGAATTCGTGCTTGCTCGAGGTCTTCTGCCAAAATGGCTGCAAGTCATTTAACTGTTATTTAACTAGTCAAACATTTTTAGTTATATCTATTGAAGCACACACATGGTTTCACAACTGTCAAGTATACAAAAAGGAAGGTCCAAATCATTTAAAATAGTCTTCATCAGCCAAGATAATCTTCTAGTTAAATGCGCAGGAAAACTCTATTATGATATAATAATAATAATGAATCTATACAAAGGAACCTATTTTAAAACAAACACAATTAACGTGTATCAATATTCAGACATTCATAAAGGAATTATCATTGTTTCTTTAAAGATTGCACTCAAATAAATATTAAACATTTGGCACTGGTGTATAAAGAGCTGCAACCTTATGATGGTTAACTGTACAGTAACCTGCAATAACTAGTTAACAGTTTACACATTGTGTTACATTGACCTTATTAAACCTCCATTACTTTAAAGGTAGGGTAGGTAATTCACTTCAGAAACACTTTTTGTTATATTCCATGGAATGCTCTTAACATCCCGATAGCAATGAATACATTAAATGCTTTGACAATAAATACATTAAAAAATGCATCTTTGGAAGCCGTGGCGCTGTAAAAAGCACGACCAATCATCTGAGCCGGCCCAGCTAAAATAACTGGATGGCCTACCTGCCTGTCAGCCTTCCATCTCGTGCACAAACTTATCTCGTGCCCTCATTGGTCATGTTCGTGTGTGTTGGAGGAGGGGATCTGTAAGGAAGTCTGAAGGAAGGGGCAGATTTTTTTCGGCTGCGTACTTTCAAATTCTAGCGCACTCGAGCTAGTTTCTCCATTCTTACCTACCCTACCTTTAAGGTGTAGTTCTGCAGTTTGCCACTAGATGTCGTATGTAATATTTCATGGCACCCAGCGGATCTATGATGTAGTGATTGTTGTTTAGTGTGTGATGCACACCTACATACAAATAAACATTATGGTTGTCGAGTATTATGTTTCGAATACTGTACTGGGCATTCACAACTAAAATACCCTGAATGTGTGTAAAGGTGGTTGAAACCATTGAGTTCAGGATGCTAGTAAGCAAATAATAGTTATTGCCTTATTTTTGATGTATTTCAAATCTATTATGTTAATTGTTGAAGCACTGTATTGCTGCTTATTCTTGGCAATTTCTCCGTTGTAAAAAAGACGTTTGATCCCAATCGGACAAACTTAAAGCTAAGTTTAAAATGTATTTATATTACAGCACTTGTAATGTAATTTTTTTGTGTGATCCTAATTACCTTTAAATATGTACACTTGACCTTGAAAGACACCTGTCATATGTGCCCATTATAGTCTGTCCAAAATCAACCAAGAGGAAGTTCAGACGAAACAGAGAACAGGGACATTCAAATCGGTGGTAGGGCATACTGTTATAAGCAGAAGAAACAACTGCTGCTCAAATAAAAACAATCTGGGAAGTGTAACTGAATTAATTAAAATGTTTATGTTTAAAACATAAACAGCTGAAGTATTAACATATTACTGTCTTCTCTACCAATCAACGTGCTCCTCTAGACCATTTAAAAACGAAGTTCCGGTCAGCGCGCATCGATCTAGTGGGTGTGTTTGATTGGGGAACCCAATGTACCGTCTGATACGTCTATTATTTCGGTTTAGCCGGGCGGGGTAGGGAAGGGCCGAATACGTATAATCCCTTCTTTTGTGAAACTCAACACAGTACACCTGCGTGCCAGCAGGGTGAACGAATCAAACTCACCCAAAGGAGGGCAATCATCTGATAGGAGACCACGGAACCAATACACTACAATAATCCGTATTTTAAGTATTGTGCCCACAAAGTGTCTACTGTTAGAGAGCTAACTCTACCTAACTGTATTTAGGATGACATATAAGTACATTTAAATTACGTTCAATGTGTTTTCTCAATAGTATATGACCTACATGCATTTAACTGGTTCAAACAGATATCAACGAGCTTTATTTGGGTAGTAAAAACAAATATGCACCGAATCAGCATTAGCATTAGTAATGGTGTATAAACACTATGTTTGCGTGCGATAACACCACACACTGGGTGTACAATGACAGTAGAATTTGTGTGTCTACTTTTTTGAGCGGATGAACACAGTCTCCGGCTGTCACCTCTCGTCTCCAACTAGATAATTCGTCTTTGAGTTGAATGAGTGGACATGAACTGAAAGACTAGAAATTAATAGCGAGTATACATCAGGCGCTTTTTGAAAACATTTCAGCTTACAGTCATAACAAAGATGCAACGATGACTCAACCACAGCTGAATGAGTTCATTCCCCCTCCGGAGTGCCCTGTTTTTGAGCCCAGCTGGGAGGAATTTGCCGACCCTTTTGCGTACATCAACAAAATACGACCCATTGCAGAGAAAACTGGCATCTGCAAAGTGCGCCCGCCACCGGTGAGTGTTTACACATGTTGACAGTTATTACACTTTTTCTGGCTTTGTGTTTTGCTCTCAGCTGCGGTGGATAATTTAGAAGGCAAAGTTGTGTTTTTAGACAGCTTTCAACATGGCGGATTGCGGCTCCGAGTTAACAGCTAGCCGGAGCTCGGACTGTTGTGTTTGAGACAACCATAGTGAGGCACTCTCATACTAATAATTCGGATTAAGTTTTTAACCCACGAGAAGACAGACATGTGTTTAGTAAAACAGCCGTCTTTCTGGGCACTATTTGTAAAAAATTAATTAAAACGCTGAAGTTTGTCTGTATGTAAATATAATGGAAAGTGTTTACGTTAGTATCAAACGCTTCCTGGACTGGGCGCACGGAAATCGGCTCACCAAGATTCAAACTAATAACGTATCCACTGCTTTTGAACAGTTTGTTGAATGTAAAGCACAACTTTACCAACAGGATTTAATGGATTTAGCCAGTATGAGGTGACCTAGCGATCGTTAATCAGGCCTCTTATAAAGCTGCAGTTGTCTAACGTCACGTACGTGCACGGTGACCCTCTATGGAGAGACGCGTTGGGCTCCACGGACACTCTGGTTCTTTTAGCCTTATCCCGTCAGAAACACACTTAAATACGGTTATTTTACACTATTGACAACGTTGTTTTGGTAGCTAACTTTCCGAATAACCTCATATGATGAAACAACTCCCGGACTCTTCATATGTATATATATTTTTCCAAATTGAAGCATTATTTTTGCCACATCTCCCTTAAACGAGTGTAATTTTTTCCAGGACAGATAAAGTAATTTCCACAATGGACAGAATTGAAATGATCTCCTTATTTCTGATTTTGATGGAACAGGGAAGATGCTTATTCAAGGGTGTGTCCAAGCTTCCACGCAAATTAGATAAAGGGCAAATTATACTGAATTAAATTATACAACAGATTGATAATACCTTATTGTTTAATTTTGTCTTTGGTTTGATTGTACAAAGTCTGTCCTTTAAAATATTAAACATGCATATCTAGTAAAAATAAATGTACATGAAAATACAATACACAATATAAATTATTTTAAATGAGCACAATGTAATTGCCATGACTGATATCATATTGGCTGGCAATGTTTCAGTTTAAAAACATGAAGGTCCTGTTTGTATGTAGTCTGCCATCAGATTACATTAGGCTCATCTTTATATAATGAAGTAGCTGTAAAAACTCATTTTGCAGAGTTAAACTGAAATACAACCCACAAAAGGATAGATGAGGGGACTGCTTGGTGTTTGCTTGTCCAAAAGGAAAAGTTGCATTTAAATGCATGGCTGGAAGTGTGCAGCTAATGTAAACAAAAGAAGGCTTTGAGCAAAGATTGGAGCTGATAGTCGCTTCACATGGGATAGACCGGGGGGAGGGGGGGGGGTGCTGGTTTCCTATTTACGGCACTGTTTGGACTAGTGCAACATGTCTTTATAAATACATGCTTCTTGGGTAATATTAAGCTGTCTTTGGCTCTTTTCTTGCTGTATCAAATGCACATATCTCCTCTGTGGGACGAATAAAGGTATTCTGATTATGATTATCATGAAGAGGTATTTGAGTGACGGAGTTATAGCCTACTACTCTAGCCTGAAAAGCTTTAAAGCCATCACGGCAAGCCGTTTGTGTTCAATGGCATCTTTATGAGGGGTTTTAAAATGAAGGTTTTTAAACTTAATACCATATGGTAAAAAAGCAGCATGGCCCAAAAGTTCAAACAAGAGGCCTGTTGCTTCTTCTCCTTCTTCTTGAGTGTTTATACTGGTATTAAAAAAACAACTTGTATCAAAAGAAGAGAAAAGAAAATCACAATTTAAAACCTAACTCCACCATTTGTCCCACACTGTGTAAGCACCATTGTCTGCAGCCCCATGTCATGCACCAGCATTTTCTACTGAACATCCAGACCAACATTTGGCTGCAGGGTGGTGTGTGGGCCAAACAAAACCAATAAACGATCTTAAATCCTTCAGCAATGGGAATCTGGGCGCATGAGAGTATTTCTACTAAAGCACATTTTTAGGTGTTTTGAGTTTGTTTTGTGTTTTTATAAAGAGGACGCTGGAGGCTTGTACGGAAAGGTTCACACAGTGTAAATATAACATCCTCTGTGTTTTAGAATTGATCTTGCCTGAGATCTAATTTTCCTTTTTCTCTAGCATAAACAAAAAAAAAAATATTTTTTTTTTAAAGGGAAGAAGCCATTACACCACAACCTGTCTTTGATCAGTGATTTCTGCGCACTCAGAAAGTGCACAGTA